TTAAAAACTAAAAACATTTTTTAACATTATTTTTGTTATTGTATATACTCCAAGGGCACGTGTTTTGCGGCAAATAAATGCAAAAATTTTAAATAATATATTTTGTTTACAAACAATACTTATCTTTTATGTGCAAATTTTTGTTTTTTTTATATAATTTTAGTACTTTGTTTATTGGTGTGCATTTTACTTAATACAATTATTATTTACGAATTATACATATATAAAATAAAGTAATAACAATAAAAAAGTCGAGCAAAAATCACTGAGTTTTTATTCTAATTGTTTGTACAAAGGCGTAGACAGTTTGGGGGCTCAGCGAAAGCGATTTGAAATATTGCTGATTATGCCGCAATAAAACTTAAACCCTGGAAAGGCTATTTCAAAAACTTTATTAAAAAATATTTATTTTAACTAAAAAAATAAATTAATTTAATTTAAGATAAAAAATAAATAATTGAATTCAAAACAAATTTGCAACCCTGAATGTTTACGGCTAAAGTTTAACTTCTAACCCGTTAACGCCAATTTCAAAAATTGTTAGAAGGGTTAATATCAAAACATATTGCCCATAGTAGCTTTGATTCTCACTAAAGAAATTTTAACTCTTACAATACATGTGGAAATTTAGTAGTAAAATTTTATTTATTCCTTGAAATAAATTTTAAAATATACCAATTTTTAATGGACTAAGCAAACTTTATTTTTCCGATATGAAATTCAATAGGACTTTTAATCTTCTAAGAGTACAAAATCGGAGTTTTAATTTTAACTCAAGGGTTAAATAACCTATTGAGTAATAGAAGCTTTATTTCATTTTATGATTTTCTCAAGTTTTTAATTTTTTTGGGAAAGTTTTTGAAAACCGTGGAAGAAAAAAAATTATTTAAACCAATACCAATACAAGCTTATTCAGAAATAATAGCATTTAACACTCCAACGACGTTTTTCTTTTGAAATTACAAGATAAAATAACAAAATTATTCTTCAAAATTCTGATTTTTTTTCATTAAATTAAAAAAAACATTTAACTGACAGTCATTTTAAAAAATTTTATCTTTCAATTGCTTTCCCAGAGCTTTATATTGAAAATATATTAAAATTTCAAAAAAATATTTAAAAATTCGAAAAATTTTCAAAAAATCTCAAAATTTCAAAATATTTTCAATTATAAAAAACTAATTATGCGTATACGAATTGACAATTTGTTGTAAGTTTAATCAATCTATTTACAAACCCATTTTCTTAAATTTTGTATAAATAATTTCAAAGCTATAATAAAAAAAAAAATTTTGCATTAAAGGATTAAAATATCTAAAAAAAGGAATTATCTCAACTCAAAATTCCTTCTAATACATTTTAATAGCAGAAAAAACGCTCTAAGGTTCAAAAAAACTACCATATATGCTTAAAGCATTGAAATATTCAACCAAAAATTAGTAATTTCCTTAAATATCCTTCCAGAACTCGACCAAACCGCTTAAATATCGCTGAGATCCCAAAAAATAAATGCCAAATTTCGTCATATTTTGAATATTTTTGTTAAATTTATTAACCACAAAATGTTTTTATAATTTTTTTGCGCAGAAGCATGCCCTGCATACATTTTTATTCCCTCCAAAGCACTTTTAAACAAATAGTTATTGCCAAAATGTGCTCAGGGATTGATTTAAAGGCTTATTAAACAACAAATAAATTATACATACATACATACAATCCAAGAAGTCTACGCTCGAGACTAAGATATGAGTGTTTACAACTTTGCACACACATACCTAGTATGTACATACATAATTATTAATCCAATCACAGGTTAAAGCAAAAATACAGGGTACTTCGGTAGCAATAAATGCAGTTAGCAATATATTAGCAAGATTTTTTGCTGAGCTGAAAATTTTTGGAGTTTTTTTATATAGTACAAGCACATTAGGTGTGTATAATTTTGAATTTTTTATAGTAGCAGCTCATTATGGTGAGCATGATGTAACGTTATTAAGAACATCTTTGTTTTAAAAAATGTCTGTGTTGCTGGTATGCGATAAAGGATGTTACCAAAAGACATAATAAAGTAGTATAATTCAGGCACACCCTAATGTTCTCAAAATAAAACTGTTATTGCAGCTTATACATAATTCTGTGCTATTTTTTTAATTACATTTTTTTTTTTTGTGCATTTGTCATTATTTTTAATAAAACAAAATTTAATAAAGTTTTATTTCTCTATTTTAAAAATAGTTATTCATTCTCAACGATAAAAACTTCTAAAAAAAAATATGAAAATATATATATAATGCTTTCAATTCTTAAGATTTTTATTTATAATTATTACAGTCTTGTTCATGTAAACTATTTTTGTTTTATACCCCAAACTGGATATACACATTAAGACCTTATCCGCAAACTAATAAATATTTCAGTTTCCAAGATATCAATCTGAAATTATGCGTAAGTCCTTTTCGTCCTAAGAATATGCCTATTTGTTAGAACTGTCGATATCGGACTGATATTACATATAGCTGCCATACAAACTGATCGTTCGGAGTAAAGTGCTTGTATTGGAAACTTTTTCATTTGAAGAGATATCTTCTAGAAATTTTGCTCGGATTATTTTCAAAAACAATGGTGCAATCTTCGTATAATCGGTACAAATCGGATCACTGTAACATATGGCTGCCATACAAACTGAACGATCAAAAGCAAGATAAAATTATTTTCATATAATTTTCGTCTGTAAGAAATATGTACAACTTTGAAGGGAATTTTCAGCCGAAGTAAATTTTTTTTTGTTTTTTGAAAAATTAGAAAAATTTTGTGTATTTTATTTTAAAAATATTTATTTTTTTACTTTAAAAATCGATGATTAACTGCGTTAATTACACTCTTAATCAAACAAAATGTTTTCAAATATACTATACACATTCATATATACAAAAAGAGCATTGTACATAATTATATACCACATATTTAACACTTATGTACATACTAAATATTTCTTAACTTCCCGCTCATTGTCATACAAACTAAGCCCATATACATGTCATTTGCCACTTTAATAAACATCTGCACATTTATTATAAAAATATATATTAAAAACAACAACAAATATTAATATATTATTGTAGTTCCAATTAAAATTCTCTGAAAGTACCTGCGAACACCAAATGCATTGAAAACATTGCCTAAAGTAAACAAAATATAGTTATAAAATATAAATATACACACATGTGTATGTGTATGTAAGCTAAACCCTTTATATGCATTGAATAGATATTTTCCAATTGTCTTACATATAAAATTTTCCGATTTCTATTAACTAAAGCTATTGAAAGTTTGGTTGAGAAAACGCGAATTGTTCCTTACTAGTACTATATATAACTACCACATACATACAGACG